GGTCGGCGTCACTTGGAAGGAGTCGCTGAAGTCGAGAAAGGTTCTGACGAAGAACGTGACGCACGGTTACCGTTACGCGCCTCACCTGCCAGAAACTTCCCAAGCTCCACCGTTCTTCCAGCACCTGCGTCGACGCCCGTTTCAACTAGGTAAGCACCATGCGCACCGCTTCTGCTTCGCAACCCATCAGGCTTCACTTCTGGGAGATGGCTCATGATTCTTTTGTTTCTTTGCGATGCGGTGGCGCTGGCATCGGATGGCGACATAAAAGGATGCGCTAAAGACCCTCGCAAACATGCCCTGCATGTACGCCGACAAAAAGATAAAAACTGGGACAAAATCTTGTCTATCTGACCTTCACCATAATACCGCCCGGCAGGAAACTACCGGAATGACACCGTTCAGTTTATTCCGAGGTAGCGAAAGCGCTACTGTTCAACGCTATGCTGCCGCACGAGTCTGATGACATTCATGGCGACGCTAAAAAATTGGTCAGCGCACCGAGGAAGTCCGACAGCTTGCCCTCGTGCGCATTTGTCACCAGGCAGCATAAAGATAAAAAACGGGATACAACCTACGACACAAGTTAGTTACTTATACACCAGGTGACAAGGTATGGGTCTGGATCCCAATACGCCGACGCGGAGTTTCAGAGAAGTTGCTAAGACAATACTTCCTGCCATACCGAGTCACTCGACGTTAACTACGAAGTCATTCTCGACGGCTATTGCAGTTTCAGACACCGGAAGCATTCGCCCGACATCGTGCATGTCGTTTAGATGAAAACCAACCTCTTCAGCTGACTATCGTTTGCCATGTGTGCGTTTTTTATAAGTAGAGCGCCTCAGCTACGCATAAGAAGGATATTATTTTTGGAGGGAGGAAAATGTCACGTGCGTGCTGTGAAGAAGAAGAAAACGACAGCGCAGACGCGAATTTGTACACTTTATGCAGAATGTACACTTTATGCAGTGTTATACCTTGAAGCACGAATACCAACCTTATTATGTCGCTTTAACATTCTTACCATGCAGACCTTTTTACGACTATATGAAGCACCGTTTAACCCTGAACAAATTATTTTTATTTCCAATCCTGACCTATTCTTCTCCGTGCATTGGCCCAGATTTACCAAACCACAAATAATATTTGTTCAATCGTTACTTGAGCCCCTAAATGTACACGTTCGTGATCTGATTCTTTTAACTGAGCATTAAAATTCTCCAGAACTTGTTTACCATGATATCTTCCCAACTCACGCTAAGCTATTACCTACAGGCATTTTAAATGGTTTATTGCAGGACCATTTAAGTGCTCTGCCAACAAATGTCATTATAGCAACGGACGCATCTCAATCACATGAAAAATCAGGCGTTGGAATATATTGCCCCGTACTTGATTGGTCATTTTCACTTCGCTTACCGGACTTTCTTCCTGTCTTTCTGGCTGAATTCATGGCAATAATGTTAGCTTTGCGAAAGGTAAATATTTCCATTCCAGTCGTAGCAGTCATAACTGATTCGTTATCAGTGTGCTCTTCTCTGTCCGCATCTGGTCACTCACCTATAGTGAAACTTTTTAAATCGTTCATCCCCTGTCATCTCCGAAGTATTCATTTAATCTGGACACCAGGGCACAAAGGTTTGTTGTTAAACGAAATTGCTGATTCTCTTGCGAAGGCATGCCTTTCGACACCAATTATTCCTATTTTCCCTCATACAGTATACATTACGGTGGCGCGATTTCGCCCACTTAAAATCAGGCAAAATTTATCTGACCCTGCACTGACGGCTTCTCCAGAGTACAAACACTTGTTATTTCCCTGGCGCAGTGAACTGACTAATTCAAGGATGATGGAAGTTGTCATCACGAAATTTCGTTGCCGCGTTACCTCCTTCAATTTTTACTTGCGTAGATCAGGCATATTGAATTCCCCTATGTGCATTTACTGTAATCAAGAGGAAACGATCAGTCATTTTTTATTACATTGTCGCCGTTTCGATTTATTCAGGCAAAGCATACTAGCACCACCTCTTCAAAGACTGGGCTTGCAACTATCACAACCTGATCTTCTTTCATTTGGAGCCTCTACACTGGGTTTCAGCCACAGGGATGTTTTATTCGCCGTTCAAGAATACATCACTGCGAATAAACGATTTTCTTGCTAAATTGCTGTCTCACTATTTTTCTTCCTTTTTTTTCCTGCAAACTTGATATCGGTATTTCAAATCAAAATTAGGTTACAAAAAAATGTTGTAGGAATAATGCAATGCTGAAAGTTTAGGGCAAATTCACCTTATAATCGGCCAATCCCCTTCTTTGGGTACGAGCCGTTTGCACAGGAAAACAACAACAACAACAACATGCAGAAGGCAGAAAGAAGAAGAACGCTCTAGCGCGCGGCAAATAAAGGTCGCCCTGCTGCTGCTTTCTATACCTGTTCACTATGACCTCTGCCTTCATGGAACGACGTCATGAAACCTTGCGGAACTTGTCCATGTATGGGAGGCTGGCTTGATGTAGACTGTTTTGCATCGCGAGGCGAAATACGAAAACATGAAGTAATAGACGCAGATGATAGAGTGATATATGCTCTCCCTCTATTCCTTTCTATTTCTGTAATTTTCTTCGCACTACAAGAATTTTTTTTCAAATGCATCATTAACAAGCCCAAATTGCAACTCTAGTTGATGTGGATATTTTTTGTGCAGATGTTGAATTTGGTAGCCCAGAAGTAAAAAAAAAAACTCCAGGGTAACTCCACATTAGTGGAAACATCAAAAACCTCGGTTTACCCGACGAGTAATTGAGGCGTTTTAAGCTCATATGTAAGGACACAATCTCTACACGAATGGTGAAACGACTTAGTGCCACCATGTCGGATGCAAAGTAATATAGGCTGACCACTCCAGTTTCATTTCACTTTCCTGTGGACACTTTCAGTAGAAAAGTAGCCGCGTGCTCAGAAAATAAGGCCATGCCGAGCAACACACAAATCAAGGCCACAGCTTATGCTGAATAAATTTCCATCTTCGTAAGAATCGATTGGATTCCACACAGTTTTGGAGTTCTTAAATCTTCAATCAGAGAGTGCGGCAATATTCTGGCTACTAAAAATCTGCGGCTTGGATTCGTTTGCAATATAAGTGGCACCCTCATAAGAAATGCTCCAGAAATGACCCTCATTCAGCGAAAACAAAACTCCAATAGTGCCCTCGCTCGTGACCTTGAAAAGGCCGAAAGTGGGAATATGTGCCAACTTTGCTAAAAGTGAGTAGGCCCTCCGTGGCGGTCTAGTGGCTAAGGCTGCTGACCCGCAGGTCACGGGATCAAATCCCGGCTGTGGTGGCTACAGTTTCGATGGAGGCAGAAATGATGTAGGCCCGTGTTTGGGTGCACGTTAAAGAACCCCAGGGGGTCGAAATTTCCAGAGCCCTACACTACGGCGTCTCTCATAATCATATGGTCGTTTTGGGACGTTATCCCGACATATTGTCACAACATTGAATAAGCAACGCCAAGAGACTAGAAATCGTGCACGTTGTGCGAATGAAGCCCTACTTTTCGGACTGATTTACACCATTCATCTATTCCACCGTCTTTTGTAGAAGAGCATCGGGACGCTGCTCTCTGGAGGGGGGCAAATGTCACATTGAATAAGCAACGCCAAGAGAACAACGAAGAACACGCGCAGCGAGAGAAGAAGACGAGGTTCTCTTCCGATCAGTTTGCCAGTGTTTTGGTACAATTAAAGGGAGTTTCCTGGATTCGACTGCTGCTGTTTCTGCATTGTGACAATATAATCTAAAAGCGATTACATAGCTGGGGGACATCACATCTATTCGGAAGACATGAATTGACCCTGCTTTAAACCACGTGACTTTGGGCAGCGATTTCCGATAGATTGCTGAATGAATAGACTAGGTTCGTAACCAGGGAGCGGGTGCTATAGAGCCCCCTCTCATATGAAATTCTGATCAAGGGGGTGTTCTAAACGCAAATAAGTGTTTTAGGGGCGAAGCTTGTTAAAACGAGGGTCGGTCGTCGCCTGTAAGTATGCATGTATGTAGTAGCCACTTCACAGCATATCCACGGAGTCAATGATGATAAGTGGGGCGAGGCTTCGAAGGGTTTTATCGGCAAACTGCGAATCAGCCGCTGCTGCACTCATCCATCATCTGTCTGTCTGTCTTCACGGACGGACGGATGGATGTACAGACGCACGGACTGACTGATGGACGCTTCGCCTCACTCATCATTACTGACTCCGTGGATATGCTTTGAGTTTTTTCTTAAATAGTCGTGGTCTTCAGCAAGTACCCCTTCTCCCCTTCCTCTCCCCCGAAAATAATTCCTGGCTACGCACACGGTAAAGAACCCCAGGTGACCACAATTTTCGGAGCTTTCTTCTACGGCGTCTCTAGTAACAGTGTCTTTATTTTGAGGCATAAAATGCCGAGAATCATTATCACTTACCACATCTTCTACTCTATTCTTCACTGTCGCAACAATATTTGATTATGTAGGTTCAAGTGAGCTTTATTTTTCTCGTTCGCTGCGCAACATTGAATTCGATGTATAAACTGAATATCCTTGCAGCAGGAATGACTGACGAAAAATTTATTGAGGAAACCATGAACCACCCTACTTCACGGGTAAAATATTGCTCTGAGCTCCTGATAAATGGTTGTGTAGAAGACCTGGCCAGATAAGGTTGCTCTCTTAAACCAACAAAACTAACAGCTTGTCAAGTTCATTTTTTTAAATCAACGTTTGGTGGTTGTTTGAAAGAGCATTTCAATATCGGCACCTTGACGCTCTTGAACACAAGCTGTTTAACATGTAAATTACGGCTTGTACAAGAAAAAAAAGATTGTAGCCAAAACTAAACTAAGAAATGCTCATAAATTTGGCTACAAATATTTTTGCTCTTATTGTTTATGGCTCATTTGCGTTTCTTTCGCTTTTGGCTACGCCTCCTCGTCCTTATTGTTGCACAGGCGCCACGGACCAGGCCGGTTGGCACATGGAGAAGAAGGTCGGATAGTGCTGGTGTTTGAGGTCGCCGATGATTCTGAGCAAAAGAAAAGCGAAGATTCAGCGCCGTTCTCTTGGAGTGAGGCTACGCAGAGCTTCTGCTGCTATCCAGTGAGTTTTTGACAAATAAGAAAGGAATATCGCACAGTCCTATTAAGTATTCTAACTCCGCTTCATTACAGGACTGAAAAGCGGTCAGAACAACCGGTTAGCCTGGTTCTTTGAGAAAGATATAATAAGTTGGATTTTTAAGCTGAAGATGTAGTTTCCAGTCTAACCAAGGTTATAGCATCAGCGAATGAAGCATGCTTGATCTGTACACATAAACGATGTGCACTGTTGAGTTAAACACGCGTTTTTGTTCGACAATGCTCTCATGCTGATAGGCAGTCGACAGGTGTACTTTTCATTTTTCTCGGATGGGGAGGCTGGGTGGCAAACGTAGCATTGCAAATATTGAAGGAGATCTTCCGTGAGAACGGTAACAACGAAAGACTTTATTTCGACAGCTTCGGCCAGAATCTGGCCTTCTTCAGGGATGAGAATACATTCTGCTCGTGGTCACATTTATAAGGCACCAATGTGCTTATTTGGGCATGTTGATACATGATCAACGAAGACAAAAACAGCGCGTAACACAGGTCAGTGATATAGACAGACGAAGCGATGGTTGTAAAGGCTTGGTTGTAATTTGTTACGCACTGTTTTTTACTTCGTTGAACATTTATAATGTTTTGAGAGAAAAAAATGAGAGAGACGTACAGAGCGGCAAAGAGAGAAAAAAGACAAAAAATCGCAGCAGACCAACGGAGTGAATGATGATGAGTGCGGTGAAGCGTTCGTCAGCCCGTCCGTGCTTGCGTTCATCCACGCGACCATCTGTGCATCCATACAAGCATCCATTCGTCCGTCCATGCGTCCACCCGTCTGTCCGTGTGTCCCATCCGTGTGTCCGTCCATCCGTCTGTTCAAGCGTTCATTATTCTATACGTCTGCACATCCGTCCATCCGTTCGTCCGTCTTTGCGTCCATCTAGTGAAAAATCTAAGCACCTCCATCTCGCATTCACTGTGGCTACCTGCTACTACTACATGCATCGGGGACGCACAACCCACGCCTTAAGGAGCTTCGTCCCTAAAAAGGCCAGGCCTGCGCGGAAGACGCAGCACAGTCGCAGCGAAAGCTAGAAGAGGGGCCTTTCAGAGCCTTTTCTAAAGACTGATTGGGTAACTGCTGCAAGCACACTTGCTTGATGCCCAGTACGGCTTAATAATAAAAGGTTTATGGTAGTAGGCCGGCATTCGCAATGCTGTTTTTTGTCATTCTTTGAGAAGCATGCTATCCGCTAAACTATTGCGAAGAATTTGGTACCAATTGTTCATTCAGTGGCTGACAATGATGAGGAAATATGCCTGAAGTAGGTATACGCCGCAGTTTATAGCTGAACAAAAACAAGCTTTTGTTATGGGTTGAAGCAGTGGACAACCCGCTCGTTACGCTATTCGCATTGTGCGACGACTGCATGTTCCTTCGCTGTTTTAAAACGCTTTATATGTCGTATTAAAGCGATTGCTTTGCCGAAATCAAGCCTGCCTAAGGCAAGTTTGTCACAGCGTGGCTCAGTGGTAGAATGCTGGGCTGGCACACAGGGTACCCAGGTTTGAGCCCCACTCTGGCATCGGCAGTAGTTTTTTTATAATTTCGTGCGATATGTTACGGACACCGGTGGTGGCGGACAACTACGGCGCTGTGCGAGACCAGAGTTGTGATCTTATAACAACTTTCTCTGTAAACAAAGATAAAGAAGAGCTTAGAAAAAATTAGGGTTTACTGTGCTGTGCGACTAGCGTTGTGAGTGCGTATTTTCTTGGAATCATTGCGTTCAGTGTTCTTGGGTGGCGGTTGCTTTAGTGTAGATGGTGGCTGGTAAAGCTAAGGGCTCGCGTGTTGCGGAAGCCTTTCTTTTTTTGACCGACCTACACTACTCAGCATCGATGGCCTGGGCTGTGGTGAGACGGTCGGTTGTCGTCTTCTACCGCGTGAGATGGCGTCCCGAGGCTCCAGCGAGGTGGGGTGGAAGAAAACGTTTCTTCAGAAGCTGTCTCGTTTAAAAAGGTACCTGGCAGTGTCGCCAAAAGAAGGGAATGAGCACGTAGAGTGAATTCTAATTTGTTCTGACAATCCGCGTTTGGGGGCTTTTAGTTCTGTATGTGGTGGCTGTTGAACATGTCGGGCTGGCAATCATTGATCGGTTTGTGAGAGAGATAGAAATGGACGACAGTAGTACATATGAAAAGATGGTTACACTGAAACACGAAAGATATTAGCAATTGCCCAGTCCTCGTCGTAGTTACAGTGCCGCGAAGTTTTGATGTGTGAAATCTTGAAATCATGACATTTCAAGATTTTGCGGCACTGTAACGGTGACGGCAGGCTCTGCGGGACGTTTATTTGTGCTAAATATGATATTTATTTATTTAGGGGTCGTGAGTCTGTAGGAAAGCGGGATTACAGTGCACGATGCGCACAGGGCGCACAAAATGCCAGACAATAGGGTAACCCAGGCTGAGCCCGACAACACCAATGTCGTCGTCTTCTTTCATTAGGTGTCATTTCAGCTGCTACGCTGGAGAGGTGTCTCCACAACAGTGACATTACCCCGGCCTGTAAAGCCCCCGTCTCGGTACCAGCTATGACTAAAAGGGCGTGTCACCATTATTGTAGGTTTTCAGGCGAGAGACGTGCACTATGTCTGTTTTAGAGAAGTAGTTGATGAGTTCGATGATTTAGTTGTCAAAGAGATCTCATAGGTGACGCACTACTTGTTAGGGCCCGACGTATCGCAATAGAAGCTTGTCGCTGAGGAAAAGACGACTAGATGGGAGCCATGGTAGAACAAGAAAGCCCGGAGGAAAATCAGCGGCCCTGTGTCGACTATCACACAGTCTTTTGTGTGGCATAGGACAGTGAGAGCTGGGTCTGGGGTTTCGGGACGTTAAACCCCACATATCAATCAAGCCGGGTGTGGGATACCGCGTGTGCGATGAGAGCTTGGGTGATGGCAACTTGAGCCTATGAAGTCATTGATGTTGGATCGCATGGAAGAAGCGTATCAAATGGTAACAAAGGATCACGCCCAAAGAGAAGATAAAAGCGTGAGTAGCCGGCAGTTTCGTGTCACGATTGAATTTTAGGCTAAAGGTTACGAACTGGAAGGGCAATGTCCCAATCGTCGTGGTCATCGGTAACGCACATTGAAAGCATGTCTAGCATGACAGCATGAAAGCAAGTGTATGGTTGAGACGTCTGGTCAGCCCGTCGGTCTGGGGACGATAAAACGTGCTAAACTTATGACGAGTAGCACAAGAACGCAGTAGGTCGCCGACCACCCGAGAGAGGAAGCAGCGACCAGTCGTCTGTGAGAAGGTGAGAAGGAGCACCATGATGAAGAATGACGTCGTATAGGAAGGGCATCAGCAACATCTATTGTGCGAACTGGTCGGCAGCACTTTGGTGATTGCGTACCGAGTGGCATGATTCATGGCTACTGCGATCTATTTAATTCCATGTTGTCGAAGCTGAAGCTGAAAAAGGACCAATCAACTCCAATCCCAGTCGATGAAAAGGATCAGCTGGGACTTCGACTAGGCTGGAGGCGGCTGGCAGCGAGAGTCGTAGGTTTCTTTCGACGTTGGCAGAGGTCGCAAACCGCAACGTAGCGACAAACGAAGCCATAGAGGCCTTTCCAGAAAAACCGTCGTCGAACACCTTTATAGGTTCGGGTCACACCTAAGTGCCCTGAATTTGGGGCGTCGTGAAGCTCTTGAAGGATGTCTTTGCGCAGATGATGGGGACTACTGGTAAACGTTCTGTGCTTTCTGGACGTAAATTACGGTGATACAAAACGTTGTTTTGCAGCAAGAACAGGCTGAGGGAAGGGTCGGTGTTGCTGGCTTGTAGGCGGTCAATGATGAAGAGTAGTGATGGGTCTGGCCGTTGTTCATCCGCCACGTGCAGAAAGTCTGTGATGGTGAAAATACAGGCGTCAGCTTGCATTTCAGTGGAGTCGGGTGGTTCGACCGGGTCGTGGCATAAGCAGTTGGCATCGCTGTGCACCTTCCTAAATTTGTGCACCACCGAGATCATGTACTCCTGTAGTCGTAATGCCCAGCGTCCGTGATGATCTGTGATGACTGCAAACGGGTGTCCATACAGGTATGGGCGAAATTTAGTGACGGCCCAGACGAGAGCTAGGCACTTTCGCTCGGGAATCAAATAATTCTTATCATGCTGTGAGAGAAGGCGACTAGCATATTCTATAATACGGTTTGTGCCACTCTGTACCTGAGCGAGTATATCTCCAATGACATGGCGGCTTGCGTCAGCGTGGAGCTCTGTTGGTGCGGCTGGGTCGAAGTGGGCCAGCACTGATGGTGAACTGAGAGCGGAAATCATTGATGCGAAGGAATGTGGTTGGTTCGCACTCAAAAAAAATCCACTTCCTTTTTGAGGAGACCCGAGGGGGGTCTAGCACTATCCGCGAATTTTGCGGTAAATCGGCGGAAGTATGAGCAGAGCACCAGGAAGCTGCAGGCCTCTTTTGTAAAACGCGGAACGGGGAACTCGCGAACAGCGCGGACTTTGTCGTGGTCGGGTTGGACTCCAGTAGCAGCGACAAGGTGGTCAAGTAGCTTAACTTGACGACACCCAAAAGTGCACTCAGACGAATTCAGCTGGAGGCCAGCACGGTGAAATACGTCAAGAATTGCCGACAAACGCGAGAGTTGGCTCTCAAATGTGGGTGAAAACAGGATGGCGTCCGCCAAAAGCAAGGACAGGTTGAACATTTAAAACCTTGTAGGAGAGAGCTCATCATGCGTTCGAAAGTTGCAGAAGCATTACAAAACCCAAACGGACATGACCTTGCATGACTGGTAAATGCCGCTGGGTGTGAAGAATGCTGTTTTCTCGTGGTCGTGGTCATCTACTGAAATTCGCCAAATATGGATCAAAGATCGAGTCACAAAAATACTTGACATCGTGGAGGCTGTCAAGCAAGTCGCTGATTCGAGGCACGTGACGTCTTCTTTAGTGATTCAATTTAGACGGCG